TAAAAAAAATAGTATCTTCACGTCTACTCAAGAAATTTCATACTTTTTCTTTCTTTTCACAGATTTTATCTTAAATACAAAATTAATGAAAATGTATCCTACAGACACAAAGAAATGTAAGATTAAAAAGTTAGTGCTGAAATTTTCCAGAAAATATAGATAGTATGTATCCATACTAACTATAAGATGGTTTGTTCGCAACTTACAAGCACTTTATTTTCTTTTAATCCCACAGATAAATACACCTGGTTTTATAGATACTAAGAGATTTGAATGAGCTAAATACAAAGCCCTTAAGGAAAATAATAAAAATTATAATGCGGTTCTTTGTGCCAACAAGTTTTTTTTTTTCTGAAGTTTACGGCTGGTGGCTCAAAAACACAGAATATGCAGGTCAAAATTTCATACCTCCTAAATATACTCTTACTTACTAGGTTATTGATGCATCAAAATCGGGTTAGGGTACCTATTGTAATTATTTAAACGCTAGAGGTTTTTGAGACCAAGAATATCATAATATACTAATAGAATGGGAGGTGTAAAATATTTGCACTTTAATTTTATCACTACTAAAATGTGGAAATGGTCGATTGTCCTTGACTTCATGATTTCTGTCTTGAATTTATAAAAAGATGGTGTCCACTCGAATTTTTCATTAGAATTGCTCACAAAAAAGCTTGCTACTCTCCTAATTCTTGCAACTGGACAGAGAATTCAGACACTAAAAAATATAGCTAAAGTAGACGACTCTTCTATTAAGGTTTATGTTTGCCAGCACTTTAGAAGCTTACCTAAAAAGAACTGAATCATTAAGAGGGGAACAGAATTATCTTTTTCTTACTCATAAAAAAACCACAAAGTGGCAAGTTCCCAGTCTATAAGTCGCTGGATAAAGGAGGTGTTAAACGAAAGTGAAATCAACACAAAATTGTTTAGTACTCATAGTATTACATACGCGACGTCTTCAGCGGCCTACAGAAAGGGATTTAATATTGATCAAATAAAGAATACCATAGTGTGGACATCAACATCAAAAGTATTTCAAAAAATTAATCGTCCACTGAATAAAAGAAAAAAAAAATAACTTTATAAAAACAGGCAGGAAGTAAGTGCAGCCATTATAAGCTGCTCTAGTAAGTTGCCCTTTATTCTGTTAATGCAATAAATACTATAATGTTAATGTAAATACTTATATTCATATTCAAATTCAAATAGTTTATTTACCTTTTTTTATATATTAATATACAAATTAAACAAAGCAAAAATTAGGTAAAAGGGACTGTGTCGCGATTATAAAAAAAAAAAAAAGAAAAAAAACGATACACAAAAACATTAAATGTTTTGGTTTGGTATTAGTATAACACAAAAACATTAAATGTTTTTGTGTTATACTAATACCCCGCTGGCAAGCGAACCTTTAGGTCGGCGTTTACATGTATAGGAGTGAGTCGTTATGGCAATCTACTAAGTCGGAGTGAGCAAAAATACGAAGTATTTATTACATAACTACTTAATCTGACACTAGATTCCATGCGCTTGGGAAAATACTCGCCTTTCAGTATATCTTATTTTACTAAGCGTGGTTGACCGTACTCTTCGTACACATGAAAACCGGCGCCCAAGACCAAAAATACCGACCCTTAGTATAATATGTATGTGTTATACTACTACTATGTGTTTGGTTTGGTTATACTAATTTAGAATCATAATTATGTGATGCATATTATATTACATTAATTTTTTGTTGCTATTTTGCTATATATTATAATAACATGTATGTAGGAGTAGATTATATATATTTTTGTTTTGTGGGTTTGACATATTATATTTAAATATACGTTTATAGTTATGTTATACGATTATGTATATTTTACATCACCTGTTTTAAAAAATAGCAAAATATAAACTGTCACAAAAGAATTTCTTTTCTTTCAACATCTACGGGTGTATATCTATTCTCATCACTAGTACTACTGTACACTCTTATACGACGTTTTCGATCCAAAAAATCCAATTTTCTCAAGAGATGTCTTCTTTCCCTTTCCAGCCTTTCACTTTCATCACCACTAGCATTTAAGGTACGTTTCCTTTTACTATATTTCGGCATTTTTATTTTCACTTCTAACTATACTGTTTACTCGACAAAGCACAATAATGTTATGAGAAGGCTGACGATCTGGTACGGATGACTAAGGCCTATGGCTAACAAAAAATGCATTCTTTACGTAATTGGGAATAAAATGTGCTCGATAAAGTATGATAATGATACTACGGGTGTATATCTATTTGGACGAGGATACTCATATAGGTAATTCAGAACGAACTTCCTACAGGTAAGTCGTTTGTTCTTATAATTATATTTCATCCTCTCATAGTATGTCTTTTTAATATTTTGATTATGTAACGAGCACTTTGTTTAACATTTTTTTAGTCAATTTTATTAACATTTGAAATTGTCACAACACAATAAGACGCCTAGTTCGAATTATTTTTCACTTATTTTTTACTATCCGAAACAGCGCTACATTACACAAACCTAGCACCTGAGTGTGTTATAGTCTAATAACTGCACTAGCAAAAAACTAAAATACTTAAATATTATTTATATATTTTATATGAAACGTAAATTGTGCATGTGGTTCCTTCAAATGAACGAATCGTAGGAGTCGATTCAAAATGAGAAATTGAATCTTGTGATTCGATTCACTAAAAAGAATCGTAATGCCCTTCACTAAACTAGACCACAATCCATACAAAATTTAAAAAAGGTGTCCATTAGTCGAGAGAGACGTGGTTTATAAATCCAAAGAGACGTGGTTTATAAATCCAAAGAGACGTGGTTTATAAATCCAAAGAGACGTGGTTCAAAAAAGATAGCTAACAACACTTAAAAGAGTGTTGTTTATGGTGTGTCTTTAATTGTATTTTTGTCTGATGATGCTGGAGCTTTAAAAAAGCCTCGATATTGACGCGCTCTCTAAACCAATACCTCTCTTTCTCTCTCTCTCTCTCTCTCTCTCTCTCTCTCTCTCTCTCTCTCTGATGATGCTGGTATGAGCGAAATAGCTGTCACAATTTAACTTTTTAGTAATAAATGTTGAGCCTAATACTTTCCTTCTTTTGGATTCACAATCAATATTTAACTCCAGCCAGAGAATATACGAAAGAGAGCACAGAAAAAATGATGCAAAAAAACCGAGGGGTGTCTCACTTCAGCAAAAAATGTACATGTACTGCCAAAATATCATTCTATTTCCAAGCGACTGCCAATGACTGCGTAGAAGACTGCCTATGACTGCCATGTAATTATTATAGGCGACTGCCATAAGACTGCCAATGACTGCCAACGACTGCCAAGAAAATGTACATGTAATTCCAACAGTGAGACACCCCTCGAAAAAAACAATCCAACTATATAAATACACTGTGTCAATTTTAAAACTTCTCACCCTTAATATTTTTCTTGAAGTTAAAATTATGAAAAATCGGAAAGACACGTCAATTTTATTTGTGAGGGTTGAAGAAAGACACGTCAATTTTATTTGTGAAGGTTGAGGACACTTTAAATGAATATTTTTAGCCTTTTTCTTTCAACTCTCTAGAAGGGGGAGATGTCACCCTTACAATCTTAAATGGGAATGGCGGTCAAGTGGCACATCGTTTTAAAGGGCGTTTAATTCTCTTTTGATTGGTATCCTACTTTGTTGCGTTTTTTCCAGAGGTTTCCGAATAATCGTATTTCAAAGTTGCAGAAACAACTAATTCTGTCTGCATTGAGATTTTGGTTTTCGGGCTAGTGTTTACACAAAAATGATTTCAATGGACCTCCTTGTAGTACAAATGATTGGAATATTAGGTTACACCACTTACGCCCTATCTGATAAGTTGTTCAAAATGTTGTCCATTTTCCTGTAAACAATAATAGAGTCTGTTTTCAAACTCATCCCTAACATTTCGGTAAACTTCACCGGGAATTGACCGGCATTTTGCTGTAATTCGCCTTTTAAGATCATCGATATCAGGAGGTTGTGTTTTATAAACATTGGATTTAAGATGTCCCCAAAGAAAGAAGTCTAAGTGTTAAATCTTATAGGCCGTTCAAAAAGTGATCTTGGAGGCCGTTCAATTGGTCCACTTCAGCCAATGTACCCGAAAATCTCTCGTTTAACCACTGTCGGACCGGAAGAAAATGAGGTGGAGCACCGTCCTTCTGGAATGTTAACAAATCCTGCTGTAAAACTGGATTACCCTCTGCATCAATTTGAGTTTCTAGCTCTGGGGTGATAAAAGGATCAATAAATAGTCTCTTGAAGCATATTAAGATACAGGTCACCTGTCAAGTTTCCTTCAATAAATAAAGGAACAATTTATTCAAGCATTTCCAAAAACACAAGCCCAAACATTAACTTTTTGGGGATATTGTGTATGTCCTTCTCAAAAAATATGAGGATTTGAGAAAAATAATAAATAATTTGGGAAAAGAAACGTTAATGGTTGTGATGTTTTCTGTTTATTAGTATTTCAACCTCCCTAGAAAAATGTAATGGCTACGTCCATATTACCACCTAATCTTCTAATAATTTGTACTACAAGGAGACCCATTGCAATAATATTTGTGTGAACACCAGCCTGAAAACCAAAATCTCAATGCAGGCATATTTAATTATTGTTTCTGCAACTTTCGAACGCGATTATTCGGAAACCTCTGAACAAAAAGCAACAAAGTAGGATACCACTGAAAAGATAATTAAAGGCCCTTTAAAACGATGTGCCACTTGACCACCATTCCCATTTAAGATTGTAAGGGTGACATCTACCCCTCCTAGGAGGTTGAAAGAAAAAGGCTAAAAATATTAATTTACAGTGTCCCCGTTACAAATAAAAATGACGTGTCTTTCCGATTTTTCATATTTTTAACCTCAAGAAAGATATTAAGGGTGGGAAGTTTTAAAATTGACACAGTGTATAAATCAACAATACAATACCTCATTGGTACCTACCTGAAAATACCAAATGATTTAATGTGTGCAATGCCCATTTCAATTTCAACAAAAACCTAAATATATTCTGATATAATTCGATCTGTTCTTGTTTTATGATAATATTTAATGGCCATTGTATATCATAATGAATATTTATTAGGCTGCAGACAGACAAAGAATCCGTGCACAAAGATCTTCCATCTTTCACTTGCACGGAACATTTTTCATAGAACTCGGGATATATATCCATAAAAATATACTGCAGATGGGACGTAAGCCAAATATCGTTGGCCCAGTTTTTGTCCGACGACTCAGTCTAAAATAAAATCGAAAAAGATAAGATTTTCAAACCTAAAAAGTATAATTATACAGGGTATTCCAATATTCCGTGAACATAGAACTACTGCGTATTTTTGGAATCAAAATAAGTTCATTGGATACAATTTACCTCTATACAGAGTGCTACAAATTCGAGGTATCAGTATTGGTAACTTGGTAACCGTAATAGCACAGATTATACAGATTATAAACTTTGTTTTTTCTTTACTGTTTTTCGTGGTTCCAATTTTCGGAATCGGGCACTAGTTAGGTTACTAGTTTGCGCACATAGCACGCCCACTTATGGCCTCTAAAATTGTGCACAGCGCCTGACCGGCATGGTTATTAGAGAGATATCGGAAAACCGAATAGCGTCTTGTAGTATTTACGCGTACCTTGTCATGGTTACGATATGCGCGAGTCAATTTTTAACGCAACACCAGCTAAAAACGTTACCGTCTAACGTAATTTGCGGATCAATTACACCAAGCGCCATTTCTAAATAACGTTTAAAAATTGCTTAAATGGGCATGTGCGGGTATTTGACAACCGGGGCCGACCGGCGAGATCTTTTATTTTAGGTTATGTTTGAATTGTTTTGAATTATTACTTTAGTTTTATTAGGTAATTTGATATTTAAGTAGCTGGGATTAGTTTTAATTAAATAAATATGGCCCAAAATATGGATTCCACCTTCCAGCTTTCCAATATTAAAGAACCTATAAAGAGGCTTAGGTTTACAGCAGATGACCTTCTAGTCCTTCTAAGAGAATTTGTTGCTTGTTGCCCTAAACCCACAATAAAGCACTGGAAATAAAGCACTACAATAAAGCACTGGAAATAAGCACTTTAGCCCATTACTTTTAAAATACCTAGTAAACAAAACAATTTCAAAGTTTTAAATTCAAAGTTAGGTTAAGTTTAAATAGCGAACGCGACGGGAACAGAATTCTTTCCGATCCGATAACTATAAATGAAGAGAGTACGTAAAGGAAATAACACCTGGCCTTATTAACGTCCATGCACGCTATTCGATAGCGATATCTCTCTATTACGCTGTTTATTGTTATTTTACGCGAGTTTATTTTTGCGCACAGGAAATTTTACTCGTTTGCACATCGTCATAAAAAACAATTTCCGTACCACGAATTAGGGATAAGATTTTTATCTGTATATATATAGTATACCTAATCTGTGGTAATAGATAAGAATATGGTTAATTTGGGATGTTCACCAAGATGCCATCAAAAAAGTTTTAAAAATTTCAAAAATTGCTGAGTTTTTTGGAAAAAAAAAGAATTTTTTTGAAAATCAATTTTATTTTTTCCTGTCGTTACTTTTTAGAAAACCAAAAAAACTAATTGCGCATTCTCATAACTACTTTATTAGGGCTATCTGATAGTAATTTTAGATTTTCAAATTAGCTGATAATTTGTGAGATACAGAGGCCAACTTAATTTTACTTGACGTCATTTTGTAAAAGTAAAAACAATACATCTCTTGATTTTTGCGAAAGTCAAATGTTAAAGCAATTAGCAAAACATAGACACCCAAAATCCCATTCAAATCGGAAAACCTGTTTTAAAAATATCTGAAAAAATTTATTTATTTTTTAAAGTTTCATGCCCTCTAACGGACAAACGAAGCACTTTTGTATTGAGCTAAATTGTATCCAATGAATTAATTTTGATTCCAAAAGTACGTAATAGTTCTAGGCCCACAGAATATTTGGAACCCCTGTATATAAAATATCTTGAAAATATATGGAGTACAATGCAGAGATCTGTTGTAATTTATAAATATTTAAAAACTAATATTAAAATCAAAGCTAAATTAGTTATTCAAATTTATCAATAAAAAATATTTAGAAGACATGGATTGAATGAACCATTGTAATAATCATAGCTAATAAAAAAATAAGTATATAAAACGGTCGAAAAAAAAACGTCGTCAGAGATAGCTTGAAATTAGATTGTTTAAAAAAAATTGAATAACTCCTAGGTATTTTTTTATTTACAAGTAAACAAATAGTTAAATCTCTGTCAATTATCACAATAAGACAGAGTAACTATAAAAGATAACAATTTCCAACAATTCCTTAAATAACTTTCCATTCTTAAAGATTCATTCTTTTTAATAACTTAAAACTATAATTCATCCATAAATCAATGCATAAGGTAGTTAAATAAAAATAGAATAAAAATTTAATACCCTCACCGGCAAAAAAAACGGCCACTAAAAACTACTGCCACTTTCAAAGTTGGATTTCTCACTCTCTCATTAGATTTTGATGATTTTTTTTAAATTGTAAATTATTTTCTTCTTAACGGATGCTCTGTCAGAAATTTTTGATTCCGAATTTATTTTGAGCATATACAGGGCACAACAATAAGACGAAGTTTTTTGCCCGAACATTGTAACACCCTGTAGGGCGCAGCAGCTGTAGTAGCTATTGCTAAATCAAATCACATTGTAGCCTTATCTTTTGTGAGCATTTTGTTTTTTTAATAAAGACATTATCTCTGTTTGTATTGGAGATACGCTTCTTTAAAACGAACGTCTCGGAAAAATGCTTTGCAGGCAAAACCGCGATTCATCCGTGAAAAGGACTTTAGTCCATTGTTCAATATCCCAATTCAGATGTAAACGCGCAAACTGAAAACGTACTCGACGATGTCTTGGAAGTAGCTGGTGTCCTGTGGCAGGCCTCCTTGCAGACAAGCTGTTTTCTTTTAGTCTTCGTCGGACTGTTCTCTCACTGACTTGAGTTCTACGCACGGCTTGTAGCAGATGTTGATTCTGAAATGCTGCAATTCCACGATTTCGTAAAGTATTCAAGACAATAAAGCGGTCGTCAATTGCATTTGCTTTCCGTTTTCTTCCGGAACCCACTCGCCTGGTAAAATTTTCCGTTTCCATATACCGATTCCAGGCATTCTGGACTGTTGCTCGTGGTATACCCAGGATATCGGACACATAACGTTGACTTCGGCCATCCTCAATTAAAGCTTCAATACGAGCAACATCCGTCACATATAACGACATTTTTTTAATTTGACAATGCCTTGATAAAACTTTCTGCCTGCGAAGCATTTTTCCGAGACGTTTCGTTTTAAATATACTACAAGAAACAATAATATACTACAAATAAAAACAGAGATAATGTCGTGATTAAAAAAACAAAATGCTCACAAAAGATGAGGCTACAGTATGATTTGATTTGGAAATAGCTACTACAGCTGCTGCACCCTACAGGGTGATACAAAGTTCGAGCAAAAAACTTCGTCTTATTGTTGTGCCCTGTATATGCTCAAAATAAATTTGGAATAAAAAGTTCTGACGTAGCATCCGTTAAGAAGGAATTAATTTATATTTAAAAAAAATCATCAAAATCTAATGAGTGGTTCGCGAGAAATACAACTTTGAAATTAAAACTAGTTTTTAGTGGCCTTTTTTTTGCCGGTGAGTTCAGTTTTGAATAAACATATTTATAGAACTTCTGATATTCACTATATTCTCTTACCTTTTCGAAAAGTCTTCTATAAAATGGAAAGATTAGATCATCAAAAAATAAATAGGCATGTTTCAAAAACTCAAACTGCTTTTCCAAAAGATGATCCTCAATCAAGAGATTTTTAACCATCAAACCAGATATTGTAAACCTTTCATCAATAATATTTGACAAAACATTTTCAAAAATGTTGGTACCAGGGTACAAAGTTGTTGTTAAATTTGAAATTCTACAAAACTGGATACAATTAAGATATTGTAGGGTATCAAATATCCATATTTACCTTTGGTATAACCCGCCTTTATCACAATGTCGTTCTTGTTTATCTTGTGTAAAAAACTTAGAGAAAGCCGCCATAAGGAATCCATCTTCAACATCAACTAAATTTTCTAATTTCTCCATATCTGGATTGTGTCTATCCTGGTTGTTACTGAACGGATTTATGTATTGATGTTCTTTGAATATTTCTGTGTCCATGTTAGTATTTGAATGATCTAGACTTCTACATTCATCTTTTGTCTTATTGTAAAACTTATGAAGTCTATCAAATATCTCGTTAATATATTCCTCATATATTGTCTCTAAAATGCATTTTTTACTCATTTTTGAATAGGAATGATATATTAATAATAAACTATGAAAGAATAAATTCATAATAAAATTTCTTCTTTAGAAATATAGGATATAAACATAAGACCAATGGTATAACATTGATTATATTAACATTGTGTTATTTGCAATAATTTTCTAGCATTCATTTTGACAGAAATATTTCATAAATCAAGACAGGTTGTATAATAACTGCTTTGTTCGGGTTCTTGTTATTACCGATTCTGAACCGTCCTAGAACACTGCAGCGCATGCGCAAATGAAATAATGTCTTCATATTTCCTTCTGCGCATACATATCACAGTTCAGAATCGGTAATAAGAGAAACCCGAATTAAGCCATTATGTGTCTTTAACCACAAGGGAAATTATTTTATTTCTTAATACATTTAAAATTAATAACTAAATTTTTAGTTAGTAAAATTCTAAATTTGGTAGATATATGAATGACTGAATGAATGTGGGGTTAATAAAAGATGGAATTATTGTATCAATACAAAATTTTAAAAATAATCAAACTAATCTTGAAACTGAAGAATAGAAATACATTAGTATAGATAATATATCTATATATGTATAGATAATTTCTGATTTTGTAATTAATAAACAATCATACCTGAAAAATCACCTATTATATCATATTTTCCTAGGAGTCTTAAGAAGTTAATATTTTCTCCCATTTTCAAAACTTTTTCAAAAAATACTTTCAAAAAAGCATTATTTTTGAATGAAGGTTCAATATTTTCTTTGACAGCAAATCCTAAATGCGCATTTCCTACAGACATACTTCTAAAAATAAAATGTATCATACAATGGTATCAAAAGGCTGTTGATCAAGTTGCTTTGCAATATGATATATCAGATTTTTTGAATTGTCAAAGTCTAAGCCTGCTTGACCTGCCTTTTAATAATATAAACATGAAATTCAGATTAAAATATACATTCCTATGACAAGAATACTAAACGAACTTTTTATTAATCCAATATTACAGTCACATAACTTACTTCTCTATAACAAATTCAGCTGTATGATCAGACAGGTCGTCTCTGATAAACCAAGCTTCCACCAATTCTAAATAGTAGCGTATACTTTCTAAAAACATTGAAATTTTCAAATCCTGTTCCAATTTATTTGTTGCAAAATGAAAGGTTTCATGTAATCTCACAATTAAAGTAGTGGCACATCTTAAAGGTGTATGCAAGTTAGGATTCAGAATAACTTGCTCATGAATCTGTTTCAGAATAATTAGAGGTTCAAAAACGTTACTTAATTGTCCAGCAAATTTCAACAGTGTATAAGTTGTTTCTAAAAGAATAAAATAGATAATTTATAAAAATATCCAATAAAAAGTATTTTTTGACATTAAATTATATTTATATGAAAAATATCAATCTAAATCATAGGTAGGTGGGAATATAAAGTATATTCACCTTGCAGTCTAACTTCATTTTCAATATCACACAATTTTATGTATATGGGTTCCATAACACTATTTATACATTTGTTGTAACTCTGATAAGTTCTTGAAATAATATTACTATTTCCATACAAATCTAGTGAGAGTAAGTTTTTAAATTCTTGAAAATATCTTAAGAGATCAATATATTGTACGAATTCATTCATAAAATTACAGAAGGCATACTAAAAAGAATCTACTATTAATTTTTAAAAATAAATAGTTTTATTGCAACCTTACTGATCGAACACTAGGTAATGTAATACTAGACCTTGGTTGTATATTATTTCCATGAAGTTCTATTGTAGTGGAAGTATGAGGGCACCAAAACTGCCACAATATTTCTCTTATTACCTTATATTCGGTTGTAAATGATGGTCTGTTTAAATCAACTAATCCATGCACTTGATCTACCAAATATTTTTCCCTAAAATTAAAAACTTATAACATGTAAAGTATAATAGGTAAGAATATCATTCTAAATAAATACATGATTATTAATAATCTAACAAATAAATATGTTGATAATAATTCTGAAATGGAATTCTAATTCTAATTCCTAATTTACCATAAAATTCCTATATTTGCTTCTCTCCACTCACTTTCAGGTTTGATAAAAAATTTATCTCCACAGTACCAAGTATGTTGAATTGTATTTAATAATTCTTCTCTATTAGCTTTATAATCCATCACATAAAAATTGTTACTGCTGCGAATTTGTACTGGAAGCATAGACTTTGATGAACCAACATTTACTGCTTCTTTATTGTCACTATCATCAAAACTAGCATAGGAATCCTCATCCTAAAATCCTATTTCAATGAGTTCACATTTTTTCTATGAATTTTAAAACAATATTAAAAATCTTTGATACTAACACTCTCATCAAAATTTGGGTTCCATTTATCAATACCTTCGTTCAAATATTCCACCCAATTAACTTCTTCAATAAGCTCAATCTTCTGTGGAAGTTCCATTTCTGGATTTTCCAGAAAATGTTTTGTTGGAGCCTCCGACAGACACAACAAGAATTTTATAACGTTTAGCCTATTCATACTGTCAGATTTAGGCAATGAATCAGGCAAGTAAAGCTTATAAGCTGCTTGTAATGCTTCAGCTTGTCGAAAAAATCCATGAAAGCGAAACTTCTCTGCCATACCCGATATGTTTTGATCTATATCACGTTTACTTGAGAAATACATTGTATCAGACTTTTTCAGCTTTGTAATAAAATATTCATATATGTGATGGAATGGGTCTGTTGTTTCCTAAAAACAAAAAGTTATAATTAACTGATCTCACTCTGAAAGTTCATCAATTTATATCCAGTAAATAACACACTTTAATTTATTAATTGACAACTTAAGGACTACAAACATAATACATAATATATTTTACATACAATTTAAAAAGTATTTTCACCATAAACAATTAATTGATTAGGTTAACTTACCTCAAATCCAGATAGAACGGTAATTAATTCCTTCACAGAAGATACAATTTGATCAGAGAGTACTCTGGACATTTCTATTACCTCACTTTTAAAGTTACACCATAAAAAAAGGCAAATAAGCTTGTTATAGAATTTATTATTAAAAATTTTAAATTTACCCTCTCTGTCAATCGAAGTAAACAGCTGCTCGTTAGCTTGTTGTATATTTGAACTAAAAAAAATAGACTACTCCACAAACAGGCGTGTATATTTGGTTGCGTTATGCGCCTGTCTTCTTGTATTGATTGAAATTATACGAAAGAAATTATACGAGGGCAACTCAAATAATAAGCCTTTATTAATTCTGTTCTTTAGATTTCCACACAATTTTTTTCGTAAGTAAGTTGTATTTAGGTAATTAAATTTTTGTATTTAAATCATTATGCTGTTATTTATTTTTAGGAGTAATATTAAATATTTCATTGTTGAATTACATATATAAGTAAGTATTTGTAAGTAAGTATTATTATAATAAAAATGTTGTAAAATATAGGTAAAAAATTTAATTTATTTCTACAGGTATTTTTTACAATATTTTTAAAATATGTGGGATACTGGCAGGAGAGGAAATTAAAGAGTTTATAAATTTAACTATTTATTTAAACAAAATAAAATAAAGGAAATAGATTAATAATCGCGTCGTATTTTCGTCGTAATTTCGTCGTTCGTCGTGCGCCAGCTCCCGACAAGGTAAATCACCATCAAACTCAAACTAAACTGACTTCTTCTCGCGTCGGCGCTGCACTCGTCGTCGTCGGCTTGACCTTGCGCGCGCGGTCTACGCCAGGGGCGTATTCAGGCGCGATCCCACAGCTCGGCCGTCCTGCAAATCATCTGCCTCAGATGATCCGTCAATATCATCTAAGTCTTCTACGTCTTCATAAGGAATCCAAGGCTTCATGAATTCTGCGCATGTAGAAGTTTCCATTGGGCCTTCACAAAAACCGGTTTTCTGTACATCGTAAGTATCATTCGGCTTTACTTTAGTAACTTTGTATGGACCAGGATATTTCGGCTTCAACTTTAAACCAGGACCCATCTGAGTTCTCTTTATGGCAACTAGTTCATTTTTCTTATATTTTCTTGGTGGACGTCTTCGTAAATTATAAGTCTTCTTATTTTCTTCTTGAATCTCTTTTATAGCTTTTTTAGCTCTTGCTCTTAAATCTTCTCTGTCTTCTTGAAACTCTGCTACAAATTCTTCATTTAACATTTCTTTGATTCGTAAGTCATTTTTGTCTCTCATCTTTACTCCTGTCAATAATTCAAAAGGTGTTGTTTTGATACTTCTCTGATATGTTGAATTAATAACTCTTTGCAGCTGATCAACATGTTTAAACCATTTAGTTGGATCTTCAATAGACAACTTCGATAAAACGGATATTATAATGGAATTTATTCTCTCAACTTGTCCATTTGATCTTGGTAAACCTGTAGTTATTGTACCGTGAAATATATTCTGATCTTTACAGTAATCTTCAAATTCATGTGCTGTGAATGCTGTACCTTTATCGGATATTATTACTGATGGATTTCCAAATACTTTTCTCTGAGTTTCTAGCTTCTGTATTACTTCTTTTGCTGTCGTTGATTTGGTTGGATATAGCCATACAAATTTTGAAAAAGCATCAATGATAACTAGAATATGCTTGTAGTTTTTACTTGTAGATTCCAAAGGTCCAATATGATCTATATGATATGTATGAAGTGGTATTGTTTCTTTTGGTATGGAATTCAGGTATCCTTCTTGTTTTCCTCTTTTCCGGTTATTCATAATACATGGTACACAACTTCCGATTACTTTATCAATTTTTGATCTAACCTTGGGAATGAAAAATTCTTGGTTTAGCCTGTCTTCTATTTTTCTAGTTGCGAAATGACCATTTTCATGAATCATTCTAATGATTTCAGTCTGCATAGATCGAGGTATCACTATCAGATTATTTCCATCATGAATTTTGAATAAAATATCATTTATTACGACAAAATCATCATAGGGTTTCTCTTTTAAAACTTCTTTAATTGCTTTTACTTCACTATCGTCTTCTTGCGCCATCTTAATTCTTTGTCTTAGTTCGGTTTCTCTTGATATCATCATAATTGGGTTTCTGCTTAAAGCGTCGACGTGTCTCATGCGAGTTCCTGATCTGTGTTCTATGGTATATTGATACTCTTCGAGTAGTAACGCCCATCGTGCTACTCTCGTGGCTAGATCTTTCTTGTTCATTGTTTTCTGGAAAGCTGCGCAATCTGTCACAATCTTGAACGGAATGCCTAATAGATAAACACGAAATTTCTTCAAGGCTTCTATGATGGCTAATACTTCAAGTTCATAGCTACAGTATTTCTTTTCAGCGTCAGTTGTCTTTTTGCTCATGTAATAAACTGGATGTAATTGGTTATCTTCTTGTGATCTTTGTAAAAGTATTGCACCATAACCTTCTAAAGCTGCATCTGTATGAAGTTCTGTTTCAGCATCTCTCTGGTAAATTTGTAAAACAGGTTTCTGGGATAAGCTTATTTTAAGTTCTTCAAATGCTGCTATTTGCGGTTCTTCTAGTTTAAAAGTGGAGTTCTTCTTCAATAAATCACTTAAAGCTCTAGCTTTCAAGGAATAGTTCATAATAAATTTTCTAAAGTAGTTAACCCCAAAAAGCTTTGTAGTTGTTTCTTAGTTCTTGGCAACGGAAACTTCATTACAGCATCAGTTTTGTATTTAGAGGGAAAAATCTTGCCATTCTCTATAACATGACCCAAGAAATCTATGTTGCGTTCAGGAATTGACATTTCTTCATATTTATTTCTAAGCCATACTCTCTTGCTATTTGTAAGACGGTTTTAAGTCTGGAAATGCCTTCGTATTCATTTGCTGATGGAATTATCAAATCATCAAGGTACGGTAGTACTATACCTGCACTGATTAATGGTTGGAATATTTGATTGATAAATCGTTGAAATACAGCTGGAGAATTGCATAATCCAAAGGGTACTTTTAAAAACTGGTATTGTCCTTTATGTGTAACAAAGGATGTATATTTTCGACTTGATTCTTCAACTCCAACATGAAAGAAACCATTTTTCAAATCTAATGTCGAAAATATTTTGGCATTTTGCAGCTTATCTAACTGGTCTTCAATTAACGGCAACAGAAAGCGATCTTTGGTTATTTCTCTGTTTAACTTTCTATAGTCGATGCATACTCTGTGTGAACCATTTTTCTTTTTAGTTACCACGACTTGACTTGAAAATTCTGAATTGCAATGTTCAATTACACCATCTTGAATCCAATCTTCTACTTGTTTGTCTACTATATCTCGTTCAGGAAATGGTAATCTTCTCGGATTATGATATACAGGGGAATCGTTTTTCAGTATAATTTTCATTTCAATATTTGTTTCTTTTATCTTCTCTGGATGATATTCTACTAACATGTTCTCAATTTCTTCTCTTAAACTTGAATTTATGGGAGCAATGTCGAATTCACTAGGACTGACTTCTATTGACATCATATTTTGTAGAGGGTTAAGTTTCGTAAAAGTGATTCCATCTTGATTGAAGGTTACTTCTGCTTGATCTATTAAAGTGTTTCCTATGATTGCTGATTCAGTCATTACATTATTTGAAACTACATAAATCTGGGTGAAAAATTGATAATTATCGACGTATATTTCTGCATCAAAAGATCCTAAGGTTTCAACCTTGCTTTGTCCAAAACCATGTAAAATAATTTTATTTGGCTTTAAGGAAACATTTTCTAACTCTCTGTATAAATCTTCAGATAGTACGTTAATTGCGCTACCCGTGTCTACAAGAGCATTTATTTCAAGGCCATTTATCAAAAATATTTTATGTACAGAGTCGTTCTTTGGCAAACTGATCTGGTTGCAATCTGGTGAATTAGGATTGTTAGGTCTCGTGAATGTCGTTGTTGGATGATTCTGTGCTGGACTACTTCTTTGGCGATTTTGTTGACTTTGTGTGCACTCAAAACTTTTATGTCCAAATCCATTGCATCGGAAGCATTTTGTTCCTAAGTGTCTTGATGAACACTGTGATGATTTATGACCATTTTGACCACAGTTGTAGCATTTTACTAATCTAGTAATTTGCTGATCGTTATTGGCTACATATCTTTGCTGATTTCCACCTCGACTAGTTTTTCTAATTTCTTCATAAATTTTTAATTTTGTCTTAAATTCTGTAGTGTTTGAAGCACCATATAAAACAATTTTGTTGGAATTTTCGTCTCTGATACCATCAATGACATATTTAATTAAAGCATCTTCTTCAACTGGACCACGACTAGCTAATTCTTTCATTTTTAAAAAGTATTCATGGACTGTCTCTTCTTTTTTCATTTTTCTCTCAGATAAAATCTTATGTAAAGTAGCACTATTAATTTTAGATGAAAATTCTCTTACTAAAGAAGCTTTTAAAGTTGACCAAGACCTAATATTATTTTCACTTTCTATGAAAAGTTTTGCTAATCCAGTCAAAGATCTCTGACCGAATATAAATTTGTGTAAATCACTCCAGCCTAACATAATAGAAGTGCTTTCAAAATCTTGTACCCACCTTTCTACTGGATACGGCCCTGTGCCATCAAAAGGTTTAATTATATCTTCAACGTCTCGAAACGTAAGTGCAAAATTCAAATTATGGTTCGAACTGTGTGGTTGTAGAATATTCTGAGAAATTTTAGGTACATATTTACTACTGGTGTTACTTATTATCGAAATCTGGTCTTCTATATCTTCATCATCTTCTTCTTCAGATTGTTCGGCGTTTTCTATGGACAATTTCAATGCATTTATATCTAGCAACTGGTCACAAATACGTTTTATTAATTCATTTTTCGAAGCAGTGTAATCGACTAATAAAATATTTGCAATGGAGGTTAAATCACTAATAGAAAAAATATTTGCATACTCTATCTTATTATTGTATTGTTCAGACCCTTGTTCGTAAGAAAAAACTTGGAAATTACGGACCCTTTTTCTACTTGACCTGTCGCCATCTTGTTCATAGAGAAACTTGTGAAATAGTTTTATTATAGCGAAAGGCGCGGCTTGAATATTGTCTGATATTCGTGAAATGTCTTTCAAACTGGTCATTTTTGTTTAATATATTAGCACTTAACGATGGATGAAACGATGGATAGATGTAAAAATAGTTTATAATGTCTTTTTGCCT